TCTATTTTCTATTACGAACTTAAAATTTTCTGTTTTGTTCAAGGTGTCTCTTGTGTGTGTGTGTGTGTGTGTGTGTGTGTGTGTGTGTGTGTTAAATAATTATTATTAAAATGGCAAAAGTACACCAAAAACTGGTACACTGTTTGCAAAAGTGTTTAAGCACACTAATTAAAATATCTTGATATATCAAAAGTGTTTCCATGTCAGATTTTGCCATATCACTTTATTCACTTGTTTCACTATATTCTCCAAGTATAAAAGACTCATCTAGCTCCTCCATTTACATTAATTGTATTTAAAATAATTGTTTTACCAGTTATTTTAGATTACTAGATTTGATTAGATTCAACTTTATTGTCATTGTGCAGAGTACAAGTACAGAGCCAATGAAATGTAGTTAGCATCTAACCAGAAGTGCAAATATGTATATAAATAAATATAATATATACATGTATATATGTATGTACTGTATATACAGTAGATTTTTATGGGGTGCAAAGTTTGAGGTACAGAAGCAGAGACCAACTCTATGCAAGGGGTTGTATATACAAGATGCAAAAGCGGAGGTATAAACACAGTAGATGCATTATAAGTATACAAATACTTCAAAAAGTTTGGGATCAGAACGATTTTTAATGTTTTTTAAAGGAGTTTCTTATGCTCATCAAGGCTGCATTTATTTGATCTTTTGAACGGCAGTGTATATATGCTATACATATATGTATGGTATACGGTGCAAATGGCATTATGAGGTAGAAATGCAAAGGAATGTGCAAAACAAGAGGCATAATAATAAACATAAACAAATGTGCAGTGGGGACAGATTATATATATATATATATATATAATAATTTATAAGATTGTATATTGTAGTTTATATAATACATGTATCCCTACCTTTGCACACACAGTTTAAGGCACTTTTGGCATCTTCGACCACTTTTGTGATATTAAAATAAAACCTTTTCCCCCCTCCATCTACAACTGATTTAATCGTGTTTGGCTTAATAGTTCCTTTGTGAATGTGTGTTGCCTTGAGCAAAAGTATATTTCCCTGCGTGACCTGTTCACAAAATTTGCTAAGGAAGTCTTCCTTCTCATATCTGCTAGTTAAATAGCAGCATTTATAAGCAAAACATCCTTTTCAATTTTTACAGTTTGAATTTTTTTTTTTTGTGCGAGTTTTATGCTTTTAAAATAGGAAAAATAATAATAATAATCTGATCAGAATTTACTGGTTATTCTTAGAATGATATTTTTAGGGTCACTAAACATTAAACTGTCTGTCAAAATGTAGTGATTTATCTACAGTAAATCCATCCTGTACAATAGACCAGATATTGAACTTTTAACTTGTTTAAAGGAGACTAAAATGAAGAAAGAATTGTGCGAGGCCAGCTCTAAAAATTTAGCTTCCCTAATAGAACATTTATATTTCCTTCCCAATCGATATCATCACTTTAAGGGGAACGACCACCTCCTCCAAATTTAAGGCGAGTGTGAGGCAAAAGTGCTCTGTTAAAACTCGGTCCGATCCAAACTCAATAACCGACACGGCGCGATTTGCAAGACCTTGTCCAGTCATCATGTTCATGGCAGGCATGTCTCCAGACGTGGCCCTTAATGTTGCTTGGCCCCTATGATTGAGTTTTCACCACTTTTTAGGTTGCACCTGACACTTGGTCATTCATCTCATTTGTAAAGATTATCGGTTAGAACAGGGAGCACTTTCCGTGCATTAGCAATTTTAGCCTTACAAGAAACACTAGAAAATAATGGTTGATTAACAAAGAGTATTTACTGGTATTCAGCAAAGAAACACGCACCCACCTTTTTAATTTGAGTTAATATTTTGCTTGCCAAACCAAATGTGCCTTGTACTGACATGCAGTGATACAGCTCTCCCCCTTAAAAGCACAATCACATGCTGCTACCTTATACGACAACGAGGGTGATCTATACGTCAATAAGTAGACAAGACTAAAATCTGTGCAATGTGGTTATAATTGATTGAGATGTCTGGGTGGAACTTGCATAAAGCAGCCATGCAGTGATACAGCTCTCCCTCTTAAAAGCACAATCGCATGCTGCTACCTTCTACGACAACGAGGGTGATCTATACGTCAATAAGTAGACAAGACTAAAATCTGTGCAATGTGGTTATAATTGATTGAGATGTCTGGGTGGAACTTGCATAAAGCAGCCGTGTCATCTGCAAAGAAAAGCACTTTTCTTCTCCCTGAAGAACAGACGTAACACTCTTGAAAAATAAATGGACATCGCCCTCATTTGTTATCCCACTTTGATCCCATCTTTTAGAGAAGTGTTTACAAGAATGCCGTGCCCCTTCCATCCAAGTAAAAGCTAGTCTCAATCACAAAAAAAGAGTCAAATTTCAAGCCAAGGAGCCGTGATTTTGACCCCTTTGTCTTTATAATCTTAATCTGCGCTTGTTTTTTCACCGGCGGTGACTCAATTGAGAATTTTCTTTTCTTGTAAAATGTGATTTACTGTTCACGTAACGTGCCTAACATCGTTTTTGTGCAGTGAATAAAGGAATTGATGGTTAATGCAGTTTACGTGGTGTTTATAGAGCGGGGAAAGAGCGTTTCTGGATTGTAAAAGGCACTTATTGTGTCATTCTACAACAACTCAAAAACCTCATCCATTCAAATACTAATTTTAACTTGCGATTCATGTTTGAATACTTCCCAGAACTGAGCTGAACTTGTTCATTTATGAAGCGGGAGTGTTTTTAGTGTGTTTGACTATGCGGACAATTTTCTTGTCATTAGGTTTCCAGGTGACTAAATCCAAGTAAAAGCTAGTCTCAATCACAAAAAAAGAGTCATATTTCAAGCCAAGGAGCCGTGATTTTGACCCCTTTGTCTTTATAATCTTAAATGAAACATCCCTGCGCTTGTTTTTTCACCGGCGGTGACTCAATTGAGAATTTTCTTTTCTTGTAAAATGTGATTTACTGTTCACGTAACGTGCCTGACATCGTTTTTGTGCAGTGAATAAAGGAATTGATGGTTTATGCAGTTTACGTGGTGTTTATAGAGCGGGGAAAGAGCGTTTCTGGATTGTAAAAGGCACTTATTGTGTCATTCTACAACAACTCAAAAACCTCATCCATTCAAATACTAATTTTAACTTGCGATTCATGTTTGAATACTTCCCAGAACTGAGCTGAACTTGTTCATTTATGAAGCGGGAGTGTTTTTAGTGTGTTTGACTATGCGGACAATTTTCTTGTCATTAGGTTTCCAGGTGACTAAATTTACTATGCCTTAAGCTTATTTATAGCACGGTCAGAAATAATAGGTTCCTGGGGCACAAATGGCACCAAAAATGAGAAAAAAAATACCACCGAAAGTGAAAGTGTTTTTAATGTTTTTTTTGTTTGTTTGTTTTTAGGTGTTTTTGCATAATGCAAAATATTGCATAAATGTGTTGTTGATTTTATAGGTGAAAATAATTATGCATATTGAGATTTTAATAAATTACAATTTATTGCAAACTATTGGCATGAAACAATGACATGTCAAACGGTTTTAAAATGACCAAATAAATTAAACTGTTTGAAAACGGTTTAGAAAAAAATAGCCTCTTGTAAATGCAAAAAAAAATCCTGACACTAATATAGAGATCCAAACAGCTTTGCAAAGATCATGTTACCGTAAAACGTCTCTGATGTGTTCTGAAACCAGGTGTGACTAAGGTCGCGTTCTTTGCAGACACTGACTCAGTCGTATATATATTTGAAGACAAATGTGGCCTGCCTGCTTGCTTATTCATATTATCGGAGTCATAATCTCATGCTGTTCCCTAAATCGGCAGTGCCCCCTTTTCGTCTTTCTCCTTCATCCAACAAAGTCAAAGTTGTTCCCCATAAATTTAGGCTGAAATCAGTATGATGTGTTTTTGAAAGGAAAACCGGGTCTCTGACTCACTCTGTCTTGATTTGTCACTGCAGAATTATACAGCTGGCCCGACTATTACACATTCTTCTCAGCCTATTTTCAAAATGCAATCCTTTTGGATTGAAACAGGTCTTTAGTATATACAATGCATTACCTAAAACGGATTACCACAGACAGCGCTCTCAATCACTTTTTATCTTTTGCTGCTTAAAGAAAAAGAACAGTAATCAAAACCTTTCAACCTATTAGAGGGATGACTTTTACAATTGAATCACAGGGACCACAGGTGCGATAACGAGGCGGCTCGGCTCTATCCTTGAGTATGCGTTTCCACCTATCTCCAGATGTTATTTCATGTTTATCTGTTCTTTAAAAGCACCACTTCAGAGCCCGCACTTCAAATTCATGCTATAATGGTGTTTGAGGAGGAGACCCTTTTTTAATTCTAGGTGAAGCAAGCTAAAGTGGCAGATCAAGGTGCATCTCTAAGGAAAGCGCAATGGAATCGATGGGTGCGGCGCTGCACTTCCGACTACACGTGTTCTGATGATATTTAATTTTCTAGTGCATTAACACTCAGTCATTACAACATGCAGCCTAGGTGATTTGATCATAATGCATTTTCTTCTTTAAGAATCGCTGAAGTTTTTAGCCAGGTATTGTGCCGTTATTAGATACAGATGGGCACTTCAGCATTAAGTATAGATTTTCAGTCCCTGCTCACTTAAGGCTAGGAGTTTGTCTTAAAGAGGATAATGGCAAATTAAACTCCATACCCCATTTGTTCAGCAAACCTTGATGGGATAATTTTATAACTGCTGATTCACTCATTTCCTAGATTTATCTCTAAAGTGGTTTGGTGGTCTGGCCTCCATATACTTATTGGGAGGGGGAGGGCTATTTTATAAGTTCCTGTTGTTGGCTGATGATATACCATGGGGGAGTTGGAAATGTACAATAATTCAGTCTTTCTCTCATTTCCAGTGAAGTTAATTTACTGATGACTTTCTATTATACTGATGAGCTCATTTCACGTTGCAAATGTAAGATGTCTTTGTTTTTTTTTCAACGCAGATTGTCACGGCAGTGAGGTTTCTACAAAACCAGCAAGTTCGTCAAAGCCCCCTGGCGACCAGAAAAGCTTTCTTGAAGAAAAAAGGTGAGCATCATCAGTATGTTCCTGAACCTAATGTAAAACATTACATTTTTACATGCAGAATGGATAGAAGATGGCTCAATTCCAAGACTCTGACCTTAAATTTAACCAGCTGAATGCTTTTGTTATTCATTTCAAACATGAGTGGAATCAATTTAGTAAAGAAAGCCTTTTTTCAGTGTTAGATTAAAATGAGTTTCTCTCAAAATTAAAATCTTTTACACATCCTTACATCGTTCCAATCTCCACTGATTTTCTTTCTTCTGTAGAACTCAAACAGAGAAGCTTTGAAGAATGTTCATGCTGCTCTTTTTACTTTCATTTACAGTGAAAAGTAAATGAGGACTGATGCTGTTGAGCTCCAAAATTGACAAAAAAAAGTGGCATAAATGAATCATAAAAGAAGTATGACTAATACGCTATATTTACTACATATGCGCTGAAGCCATGTTATAAGTTTATGTGACAAATTTAAATTGTTATTCACTGAAAAGGATGTTTGACAGCCATGGTCACCATCTACTTTCATTGTGCGGTAAAGAGCAGCTTGTGCATTCTGCTGGATGTGTTCCACAGAAAAAAGAACATCATAAAGGTTTCGGGAGAGTAAATAATGACACAACTGTCATTTTTTTTTTTAGATGAACTGTCCCTTTAAAGACAGCTCAGCTTTAGAAACAGCATGTAGTCCAGTGGACTTTGGCCCAAGATTTTCACGGGATGAGATCATTTGCTTTTAAGGGTCAGAGGTCGAGGCCATTGTTGCATGCCCTGGAGGGTCAGGTAAGGGTCGATCGGGCTGCCGAGAGCTTGATCCCAGCTCTGTGGATAAATTACCTATCAGTTGGGACACTTCTTTGGGATCCAGAAAATTAATATTGACAAACCCTCCTGCACTTTCAATGGAATTGTCAATTATGCTACCTCCCAGCATTTTAAAGCTTTTACTTAATTTAGCTGTTATCATAAATATTAAAGCACTGGAATGCATCGGAAAGTTTTATCGACCAGAGAAGTAACGTGTTGTGAGCATACATATGCATTCACTCTAAATTCAGAGCAGTTCAGGTATCAATCAATATGTGTGTTTGATGCATAACCCACCACTATCTCTCCTATATCACAAGCAAACCCCTTTCAGATCAGATCACCGGCCTGAATGTGTGCTGGATAGAAATCAATCCGTATGCTGTATTTTGATCTTTTTCGAAAGATTTTTTTCAAAACCCGGCACTGAAAATGACATTGTGATGTTTTAGTGAATCACTTTGGGGGCGGCAGTGATGGAAATCGAGAAGCACTGTGTAATCTGTCTCAATTTATGGCTTATTTGAGTGTTTTGCAAGCAGGTCTTAAAACTTTAAAATCAGTCACATAAAATGACGATCACTTCGGCACTGAAATGCATATCATTTTTTAAGATAAAATATAGTCCTTCACAAAGGTCAGGTTAGTTTTATCTTGATTGCATTTAAGTTTAGCAAGGTCAGCATTGTCCTTTATAACGCGATAACTCATCTGTCTCTGCCCACTATTGATAATTATAAATCTTCGCACAGCCGTGCTTATCTGACATGACTTTTTTCTTTTTAGCTCTTATTTAAAATGAAATTTGCTCTGTCGGGACTAATTAATGTAAAGGCAGGTGGATTTGGCCTGCTATGGTGCTAGTAAAGGACAGCGAGCCTAATAGCTCCATGACTGGTGTAGGTAACTGGAGACAAAATCCATAGTTGCCGGCTGCTGTTTTTCACATCAGTGGCCTATTATGATGTCTCAATATCTTTAGCATTTTCCTCGGTCAGTACTTCTCGTTAGCAGTAGATCGGCTTCATTTATAATTCACAGCTGGGTTATGCGGCCTAATATGCTGTATGTTTCTGATGAAATGTGGTTCTTTTGAATATGAATGTGAAATTGTATCCAGTTCCGGGGATTTGCAGGTTTTGAGCGATATGCATCGTATTTGTGTTTTGTAGCAAGTGCGTTTGGAGGTTCAAATGGATTTCTCAAAGGGCTCTACTGGTACATAAAGTATTAATATGCCAGTGTGCCACTGTTTCATGAGAAGTCAACCCCCCCATGCCAACTAAAAGTCAGTAGTGTTCAATGGGTCCTTGTAATCCACATGAATGCAACTGTTTCATTACGCTTCCTGAAAAAGATATATAACTCCCTCTCTCCAAATAAATAAAATATTATTTTGTTTTATATTATCCGCATAACAATTTGAGGAATAAAAAAATGTATTATTATTTGATGTTTCCTCCTTTTGCTTTAATGCCACTCGATGAATTTCACAAGTTCATGTAAATCCTGATGATCCTGTTTGCTCAGACTTTTGGACCCCAGTGTGTTTGTGCTATTTATAATTCATACATGCATATCTGTGCATAAGTATCTGTTTTGCATGTGTGTATAATGTATATTTAGTTTGACTTTGACCTCTCCAAACAGCAACAGCAGGTTGTAATGGGGAACACGGTGAACTCAGGACTATCATGGCAATGTGCCCCCAGGGTGTGTTTGAACATCAATAGATCTATAGCTGGAAGACTCGGCCTTGTGCTATTGCTATTCTAATTTGATGTTGTATTTTTCATGCGGACATTTGGAGATACTTGAACGAGGACACTATTTCCAGGTCACTAGCCTTTTAATTACCGACCCTTGTAACCGAGAGGTTATTGATAGAACTCAAAGCACAAAGCTGTTTACAACCACAGCCGACGAGTTATCATCAACGCTTCAAGTTTCATTTCTTTCGCTTCCTCTGCTCGCTCATGCAATTTTGGGTGGGACGCAGCTGCTTACACCCCGAGGACGACTTTGCTGCGATATTGCCGCTTGTCACGTAGTTATGAAAATATGCTAAACATTGGAATAGACAACTATTCAATATCCTCAATGGCCGCTCCCGATGGGGCGATCAGACCATCAATCAGACAGCTTAATTAAGCCAGTATGATTTAGGAATGATTTGTGCATACATACTGTTCATAATGTATGTTGTTAAGGATGGGTTTTGGATTAAAGTCACAATGACCCTTTTGTTTTAATTGTGGATCGCAATCAGGAACCTTTTGTCAACATGCAAACGGTTTTTCGTTTTGCCTAGTCCCTCAAATGGCAGAGAAGTGCAGGCTTTAAAGTGAGCCGTCTGTAAATTTGCATGTGCTGGAAAATCGTCTTGTGTCAGCACGGAGCCGTTTCTACTGAGCCTCACCTTCAACAATGTAATTATGTCACAATGTTGTATCACTCTGAAAGCAACTCGTGCAATTTGAAGGGTAGGAGGGAGACTAATCTAGAAGCAAAGTGCTGAGTAATCTTAAGCCAATTTCTCCTTATTAAATTCCTCCTGAAATTTACCATTTTCCCAGTGCCCTGCTGAGCTCACAGAAGCAATTTTAACACACTGCTCTGTGTGTTGTTCCTGCAGTGTTTTCCGTGCCATTCCTGGAGTTTGCTCGAAAGTTTAATTTGATTAACGTCGGTCATATTAAAGCGTGCCTTAAACACGCTAGCCAAAATGACGGATCAGTGGTTATGAAGGTGACCTTTAATTTTCACTGTTTATGTCTAATACCTATTAATTAGGGATAGGGTTAAGCCAAGGTCATTGTAATAATTGCTAAATGCAGGAACAAATTCTTCAATAGCAATTGTTGATGTACTCGTCTTGATTAGGTTTAGCATTTAAGAGTTTTGTCTGTAATCTATGCTGTAGTTTTTCATTAAACATTTGTGCTCTGTTTTATCTTACACTACTTTCTTTGCATTCCATATGCAAATACAGCTTTTGCCAATATCAGTTTTTCCCAATGTTTTTTTTTTGTCTTGTGTACTGTACGTCATCAGCTCTATCAGTAAGCCTCAAGTACCCCTTTGTCAACCCCAAACCAGAAATGTGTTCCTTTTAACTCTGATTATACTGGATATAATTTAAAGCATTATCTTTAATATCATTAAAGTGGCATTATTACAATGAGTCACTTTTAAACTAAAAGCAATCAATACTGTGGGTGAAAAATAGACTCATCCAGTTGCTTCTACTCAAACTAAAGCAGTATGAGGAATATTGGCTAGAAGCTGTTATTTTATAACTGCATTTAGTTTGATATTGGTTGGTTTTATAGCTTGAGACACTTGATGGGATGAAAATAGGAAAGAGTGGTATATTGTTGTGAAGTGTGAGATGAGTAAAGAGCATTGTTGCAGAAATTGATCCCCATCCACACAAATTGCCTAAATACATTTTATTAAAAAAGCTGTTAACTACATAAAATATAATATAAAAATATATTTCAAAAATAAAATGTTATTTATTTTATTTTATCTTTTTACTTTTCTGCCTTAATTTATAGGACATTCAGAAATTATAACTACATAAGCTGTTAACTACATACAATTGCACAGAGTATTTTAATTTTTAAACATGAGGCAATATTTATTTATTTTTGGCTTTTATGCCTAAAACTCCCAAGATGCCACATATTGTGTTGCTTTTTTTAAAATTGTAATGTAATTTCTGTTTTATAGGTTTAACTAAACAACATTAAAATCTTTCCATATAGTTCCTGGTTGGTATTTGGTATGAGGTATAACTATAAGGTGATGTTGTTGATCTGTCTGTCATGATTTAAGTAAATGAGATGAGCATAATGGACATTACAAAGATCAGAGATCAGATTTCAGGTCATTCACCTCCCCCCAAACAAAGACACATCCATCTTAATTTATAAAGCAGTTTAATGTCATATGTCTATGTAAATATTTTCCAGTTTTGCTCTATATTAACGTTGAGAAATGTCAAAGCCCCCATAAAATAAAACAATACCATCTTCTGGTGGAGTGGGGAGTTAAATTGGATTGCTGCAGCAAGCAGCCATAGTGGAGGGCAGCTGATGAAGGGGAAAATAGGAAGCACTTTGATTACATGTTGCAGCGTCTTTACACAGCAATCTCTCCTACACGTATTATTTACATGCTGTTATGCTCTA